AATCGCTAAAGCGCACTAATTCACACAATACCAGACAGGACTATGCCTCGCCTGTTCACTTGGAATTTCATAATAAAAGTCTTGATACATGTACAGGTTTGTTTCACAAGAAATGTCAAACTAAGAGTCCCCACGTAGAAATAAATCTAGTAATCGGGTTTATTCCACAGCGGATTTCACAGTAAGAGGCCTTCAAACTCTCTTTTAAGCTAAGCCTTAAAATTTCTATTAATTTTAAGATGATTGTTCTCTTAATTTACTATAAGAGTGTGTTTCTGAACATTTACAGTGTGCACTTAATTTCTTAATAAAAGTCTACGTTCCTCTAAAACATATATATATATATATATATATATATATATATATATATATATATATATATATATATATATATATACACGCTGCTGGTGTCACTGCTCATTGGATTTCACAATAAAGGTCCTGGATCGTTCATCAGATTTCACAATAGAAGTCCTGCTATGTAGGTAAAGACTTCATCTAAAATATACACAGAATAGTCTCATTTATATTCTGCTGTTTTCAAATGACTATTATTACTGCAGATATATTCTGGCTTCTGTTTGAAGTGGAAATAAAAAAGGCACATTCTAAAACACATTTCAGCCACAAACATTGTTCGTGACATCACCTGAGTGAATGACTGAGTGCGTTTTGGGTGAATGTGTATTATTTCTTGATTAGATCAAATGAATAATTTAAAAATAACATAATTATGTGTTACATTCAACTTTCAGTGAGAGACATTTCCCTTTCTCCACATCAACACTGCTGACCTGTATTATTAGTATAATTCATAATTAATGATGTTGGAAAACAGGTGCACTGCTGAAACACAGGAGAAAGCAATGTTTATTTTTTTTGGATGCTCACTGAGGCTCAGTTTACTGCCCACTGAGTGGCTGTGTGCTAATAAGCATGTTTTATAATATTTTAACTACTTTGATTGAAATAAACTGATAAATAACCATTTTAGGTTCTTTACTTTTTCATTTGTTTTGTATTTTTATTATATCCTTTCTTCTCCTTTAATGATGTTTTATAACACGTCGGTATCATTAATATCAAAATTTCATAACTCTTTCTTTTAATGGTAAAAGTTAAAGACATCTTCAACATTTCAGAAAAACACCCCACCCTGCACTTCCACTAACTGGCCACTTTATTAGAAACACCCACCTTCTGCTTCCACTCACTGGTCACTTTATTAGAAACACCCACAATGTGCTTCCACTAACTGGTCACTTTATTAGAAACATCTACCTTGCACTTCCACTAACTGGCCACTTTATCAGAAACACCTACCTTGTGCTTCCACTAACTGGCCACTTTATTAGAAACATCTACCTTGTACTTTCATTTAGTGGCCACTTTATTAGAAACACACACCCTGTTCTTCCACTAACTGGCCACTTTATTAGAAACACCCACCCTGTTCTTCCACTAACTGGGCACTTTATTAGAACCCCCCCCCCACCCACACACACACACACACACACACACACACACACACTCACACACAGAGCAGACAGAGACTGGGAGGCGTTTGGTGTAGAATGCATTCTCTCTGGGTTTTATTCCGGGCCTTTGGGTAGAGATCTGTTCAGAATTACAAAATGCACTGTAGAAACAGAGAGAGAGAGAGAGAGAGGGAGACATAGAGAGAGAAAGAGAGAAAGAGAGAAAGAGAGAGAGAGAGAGAGAGAGAGAGAGAGAGAGAGAGAGAACAGAGGGGGATTTTTCTCACAGCCGGAATAAAGGGCAACATCACCACATTCACAGCCTCTGCTTTCATAGCGCAACATCAGCAAACAGGGCGGTGGGCTTTTTTAACTTTAATCAGCAATAAAGCCCCCCTCAGTGTGGGGGGGCGGCAAAAATCTTCTGTTTTTTTTTTTATTCATTTATTTTTCTTTAAATATCTGTAACTTTTCATACAGCGCGTCGCCTCACCTGCAGTTTTCAGTGATCATTCAGCAATAAAAACAAACAAACAGACAAACATCCTTTATATCGTCACCATCATCGTTATCATCATCGTCGTTGTCATCTTTTCTCTTTTTTTGGTGCTCTTTTTTGTCCTTTTTTGATTTTTTGTTTTTAAAAATAGAAGAAAAAAAGGAACACGTTGCTCTTAAAAACATCTATCTATATTTATATATTTATACATATATACTTTTTTTCTTGATATTCTTTTTCATATATATTTTTAATTCCTGAAGTTGACTTGATAACCCACGTAGTGTCATGCACATCGCACATGCAAATCATGAATACACACTCCTCTTCATCGCCATGGTGATTTTTTCCCCTTTAAATCTTCCTCTCTTGCTTCTGAGTGGTTACGGAGGATGATGATGTAAGCATGGAGCTGTGGTGTGATTGGATGATGGGAAAGACTGTGGGAGGGGCTTGAGGCGTCACGGTAACAGATCAACCTCTCATTCGCACAGACACACACCTGTTCACCTGTTGAACATCATAATTTCATACCATAATATTATTATAACATCTGTTAAAATAAAAATAATTTTTTAGATCAAAAATAAATCTGGAATCTTAATAGTTTTTGCCTCTTTTCATACTAGATAAATGTTTCAAATGAAATACATTTCAATAAAACAAAATTTGCTATATGATGCATCGGATAATTTCAGAATCAAAATCAAACCGAATTGATGTGAACTGTAATGTAACTGAGGCTGCAGTGTGGTTTATGTCCTGTAGGGGTCACTGTGGGCGGAAATGCATAGCGGCTGCTGTCGCCTCAGTTGTGGAGATACTGGCTGAATGAAATGAAAAACAGTGTAATTCACTTTCAGCTGCGCCCAGTTGAGTGCGTTAGCCAGTTAGCTAGCAAACTTACTGCGTTAGCCAGTTAAAGTGTGGGGAGGTGGTTCACATCAGCATTAGCTAAAGCTAACTGCTCCTACGAAGTGTTAAGGGCTATTACTGCAAGGCGAGCGTCTCGCTAACATAATAACAGCAATTTAAACTATTAAATTTGGAGTTACGCTGTTTGCACATCCATGTTGGCCACTTTGGCTCCTCTACTGTTGAATGCACCGTGACTTTTTTACTAATGAGCTCAATCAGAGCGCCGTGAGCGCTTAACGATAAAATGCAAATGACGTGCGACTCAATTTATTAACACTTCATTAAACAAACAAATTAAAAATCGAAACTTTTTGATTTGATTAGACAACATTATTTACACATCCACGGTCCTGGAGGGATGTTGATTTGTTTCACTGAGTATTTGTACTTATCTGAAATGACAATAAAGCCTTAAATCACAGCGAAGACCGGACTGAACAATAAAAACAGCCACGGTTTTGGGTCTACCTTAAAGAATTAAGGCCAGACGTCTGCCTATTTTCAGACAGTCCCTTAACCTGACTAAGGACCGCCTACTTTTACAGGAAAGAGCCGTCTGACGGACACACAGTAAAACCAACAACAGGCTGTTTTACACTGTCCTAACAGCAAGTAAGCGTTTAAATGTAGCATCGCATCCCAAAGCCTTCAGGACATAAACTATTGATTTAATAGAGTGTACGGTGGGTTATGTCTTATCCCCAAATTTAACATCAATACTCTGAATAACACAGTTAAAATAGCGCAGTACTGCCCCCTGCCCAGTTAGCAAGAGGATAGAGGGCCACTGTTGGCCGCTGATGGCAAAGCTGGTGGCCCACTGGTGGTTAATCAGAGTATTAGACAATAAAATGACTATTCAACACTCATTTTCCACTCACAGTCCGATTTACTTACTTTTTCTTTGTAAATTAAAAATACAGCAATATTATAAATGAACCTGGTCATACAGCTGTAACCAGACTAGCACAGCGTCAGCAACATTTTCAACTAAATCATTTTATATTAGATCTGTTTTATATATTCTGTCAGTTGTTTGTAATATTCGTCTTAGTTTATTTTCCAAAATAAAAGTCTGTGTGCATTTAAAATCTGTTTGAGGAGATTAACAGCTAGTTAAAGCTTGTATGCAGGACAGTAATCGGGGTGGTCCGAGGGTGGACCAGCATATGGTGTACAGTCAGCGGGGGGCCACCTTATCAAGACCCATATATGCTCGCTATCTGCTAACTTGGATCTACTAAGCCTATTTAGCTAATAAGCTGATATTCTTCTCCATCAGTGACGCTACAACAAAAACAAACCCGCAGGAAACAAAGTGGTACGCGCCGGCAAGCTTGAGAGAATTCCTCGCTTAAAAGCTTTAAAGAAAACAGTTGAATAACTTTCCACTCATAATTGATGTGTATTTTAATTTAATGACCATATCTCTCTTTGAAAGGCTAAGTCACTGCGTCACTCATCAGACATGGATGTGCGGAAAACCAGTCAGGATAGAGCAGACAACTGCCCAATAGCTGTAACCAGGTTAGCGTACAGCAGGTATCAGCCCCTCCGTTCCTAAGTGGGCGGAGCACCTGAGGCTGAGAGTGAGATTAAGGTCAGTTACAACCCAAAACACTTTAGCCAGCTAGTTAGCTGGCTAACACATACTCTGTGTAGATCTAAGCCAGTGGTCTCCAAGCCTGGTCCTGCAGAGCTCAGTTCCAACCTGCTGCCCCTCCCTTAACAAACACCAACACATCTGATCCAGCCAATCAGGATCTTCTGAAGAAGTTATTACGCTGGAGCAGGCGTGGCGGATTGTGGTTGGACGTAGACGCTGCAGGAAGGTGGATCTCCAGGACCAGAGCTGGAGACCACTGGCTCAGATCCACACAGAGTATGTGTTAGTCTAGCGAGCTGAAGTGTTTTCGTACTGTAACTAATTAATCTCAGTCAAAGTTGTTTACGCTTATTTAAAGTTTATTTACCTTTGCTCAAACATTCGTTTGCGCTAATTAACTTTTACCTGACATTAATGTGAGCTAACCTCATCGACACTTTAGCTAGCTAACTTATTAGCATAAGACAGACAGCTAGATGACACAGAAGATGGAAAGGTT